GAGGTGCCTTCTCAATGAACCTACCTTGAATAAATAATGGATAGTACAGTAGCTTACAAAGAAGGCACTTTTGGGCTCACTGGATTATTACTATTATTTTTTTCAAAGCCCAACCAATTATATACAACAATAAATAAAACAAAGAGCCCCTAAATATCAAAGGTGCAATAGAAGACATAGAGGTGATACATACTGCCCTCCCAGGTGCAGTGTAGTAGGTTTAAGGCTCCCTCTGCCCTCTTCCAGTGTTGCAGGTGAAAGAAAGCATATGCCACTGCCTCACTGTCACCCCTCTTCAAGATGTGCTCTGGAGGTAGGATCAGGCTCTTCATCTCTAGCAAATACTGAAGGCAGGAAGAGGAAGAAATACAAGACTTCTGTTTAGTATACACTCAGTATCTAGATGTCATCTGGCTTGTGAATTTGGTAAAGCACAGCAGAAGTGCACTTCATACTGTTGTTATAAACTGTGACATTGTGCAGTGATTCAATGATTTTTTTTTTTAAGAATCTACTACAGTTTGTGTATCTGTGCACAATACGCATATCAATATTTGGATTGGAGTAGATTTTTATACAATAACAGCAAAATGCTGGACAAAAAATATCATTACCAACTAATGAACACCTGTAAATATTCATTTGCATCCTTCTATTTAACAGGTGGTAGGAAAAAGGACTTAAGTGGGGTGTTGCTTTGTTTGTGCTCTCTGTGAATTAGGCAACTGGATGTACACTGTGCTGATGTGACTGCTTTTTAAAAAGGCTGCTCATTTGAGGTCACAAATCACTTTGTGCAGCTTTAATGGTTTCATTCACATTTTCTACTTGTGTCTCAGTCAGCACCTCTCCTACTCTGCCCTGTTGTGTAATTCCCTCTGGCTAACTCCCTGCAGACTTAAGATATATTTTCTTCATGTGAGGTATTTGATGAGAGCCTTATTTTGCAATTGTTCAAGGTGGGAGGGAAAGCTTTCCAAAGCTCTGTGTGTGTGTGTGTTATTGTTACAGTGCACTACATTCATTCCATGAATGTGT